CCTGGTAACTGGCAGCACTGGACCTATGGGTGCAGGAGCTGTCCCTGGCTCCTGCTGAGCTCGGAGCCATGCTTCACTTTCCATCCCTGCAGCCTTGTTCTGTGCAAGCAGATTTTCTGTCACTGTGGTCATGCTGGTCCCGAGCACCGTAATACTCCCACCTGTGCTCTTCTATGCTGTGTGAAGGCAGGAGCAAATGAATAGTTTGCTCCTTTACCATCTTAGAAAATAGAGAACTTGACTGATGATGACACTGATGAAACTGGTAATTAACATGGAAAGTGGCACATGGCTAAACTGTGCTCCCTCCTTTACTGGCATTAAATAAAGAGTGACATCACTGAAAACTCTCACTAGACTTTTCAGAATGATTTCGGTAGCGTCATTCTCTGTGAATGGAAACAGGAAGTGGAATCTTTTAACTCAAATTCACACTTCCTTAGCTTTTTTCCATAGCTAGATGTTAGATGTGTTACAGACTCCAAAAAAAAAAAAAAAAAATCTAAAAAAGAAAAAAAGAAAAAGAAAAAGGCTAGGTAGGTGTCTCTGTGTCTCTGTTAGCCTACAATCATGTGAGTCACAATTGACTATACTGACATTAATGAAGCTTACATGGAGCTACATCAGAAAAGAATAATGATCTGCATCATGAATGTGATGATGCAAGTTGTGGCTGATAGTTGCACTAGATGATCTCAGAGGCCTTTTCCAACCTTAGTGATTTTCTGATTCTAAAATTCTAGAAAAATCAGATTAAATGAAGTCTGAAATTCCACCCATTAGGTTACTACAGTTCACTGAAAATACCTCAACTTACAAAGCTGAGCTAATATCTCTGCTGAAGTTTGGCAGGTGGATTCTGCTTTAAGTGAATTATTGATAGACAAATTCACCGGTGCTGTTATTATGCTGACAGCAATATCATTTGACACTGACATTTTATACCGTGTGGATATTAATTAGCATCACAGCCCTTTTAATTATCCATATTCTTATTATATAGATTTGAAGTCAGATAGGATCTACAGTGACTTGCTGAGACCATACACTAATGTTTATAGGCATTGTCTGTGAGGAAAATGGAATTTGAATGCATGCCTTTCCACTTGCCATTAAATAGGCATTTGGATTTCATAAACTCTTTTCTGTAAGGAATATCTTTGCTTTGGGAAGAGTTTTTGTGGATTTTTGGCCTGCAGAGCCATCAGAAATTCTACATGGAATATTCAATAATAATAATACACAGTGTGGATTGGAGCCTGGATGATATTTACCATGTCTTATGCCTTTTTGCATAGTAAGAAGTATCTCTCCTGTAACACCACAATTTTAAAAAGAACCTAGATATTCACTTTCATACAGTAAATTTGGTCCAAGTGGGACAAAAAACTTTGGAGAGAAATGGAAAGAAATGTAAATTTTCATCTATGTAAGAATAATGAAGTAAATAAATGACTGAAGTACAGGACACTGTAGTCTCTCTCCTCATTTCTCCAGAAGGTTGTGATTTGAACACATGGACAGAGAATTTTGGAACAATCTAAGGAATTAGGTACCTACATTTTATTATTATAAACAGATAGGACCCTGGACTTACCTGAGCTTTTTAGTGAAGCCCAGCATAGAGCAGGCCATTGTCATTGTTTATCTTGAAGTGAATCTTCAGCAATGCAGGGAGCTACTATAGGAAATAATGCTATGAAAAACATCTACCCATACCAATATAAGCTGGTCCAAGCTATGACTTTCATAAGCACTGGTGGAATATTAAAAAACGCAAAATCGCTGAGTCCAATTTTATGGAAATTAAGCTTTTTGCACTGGGGCCTAAGTTTATGAACAGAGTCTGTGGTCTCTTCTCCTACTACCTCGAGGATTGACTGTGGCCGTGCCCAGCCTTGTACCTTGCCAATCCCAAACTTGCCTTCCTGACTTGGCTTCCCAGCTTGACCACACATATGATGCATCACTACAGACTTGTCTGGGGATCACAAAGCAGTTGGCTGTTACTGGTTACCATCACCAGCTCTGCTCTGTGTGCCTCACTGGGGTGTCATAGGACCATGTGGCTTCTTGGTGAGGATGCTGCCCAGAGAGCCTCACTGCCACCCTCAGCTCCTGGCTCACTGCCCCTTGCAGAGCAGCCAGCTCTCACTACTCCCTAACACACAAGTTAAATTTGACTCAGTTTTGTTGCTTAGCTTTAATTTTCATTATTCATTATTCTTTAAATTAATCTTTAAATTCTTTAAATTAAAAGCCCCAATAGAATTAACTTTCCAACCTTTCTGGCATGTGAAAGGTCTAGAAATAAACCGAGTTCTTTTTTCCACGAAGTTACAATGACGTTTGGTTCTGCTTTTATTCCAGTGCTGCAGAGAAATTTCGCATTCTGTTGCAAAATGCATAGGTCAGCACAGGAAAAAAATATGTGGTGAAGTAACTTGCACTGCTGTTCGCATACATTTTTCTTCACAATACATAAGAAGGAACTCCAGAAAAAGCTCCCACATCAAAACAAAATCCAGCAAAAGGAAACAAAGAAGAGAAGGGAACATAACATACTTCTCTGGAGAAAAAGGCAGCAGTGAGAATAGTGACATACACAGTTCACAAGATCACAGGACAATCGTGGTTGGAAAGGACCTCAGGCAATCTCCAGTCCAACCTTCTGCTCAGGGGAAGGTCAGCTACAAGGCCAGACCAGGTTGCTCAAAGCTTTGTTCAATTGTGTCTTAAAAACCTCTCAGGATGAAGCACATAAAGCATCTTGGTGCAACCTGCTCCACTACCTGTCAGTCCTCATAGTTCAGAAGTTTTTCCTTATTTCAACTCTGCCCCTTCTTGTTTCATGTTATGCACATGATTTCTTGCCCATCCTGCTATGTGCTCTTGTAAAGACACAAACAGCGACTCATGAAAATAATGAAATAATAATAATGAGCTACAAAGATGGTGAAGGCTCTAGAGGGGAAGCCATAAGAGGAGGGGCTGAGGTCCCTTGGATTGTTCAGCCTGGAGACTGAGGGGAGACCTCACAGCAGTCTACAACTTCCTCATGAGGGGAAGTGGAGGGGAAGACACTGATCTCTTCTCTCTAGTGACCAGTGATAGGACCCAAGGGAATGGCATGAAGCTGTGTTGGGGAGGTTTAGGTTAGATATTAGGAAGAGGTTTTTAACCTAGAAGGTGGTTGGGCACTGGAACAGCTCCCCAGGGAAATGGTCACAGCACCAAGCCTGACAGAGTTCAAGAAGCATTTGGACAATTTTCTCAAGCACATGGTCTGATTCTTGGGACTTCCTGTGCAGGGCTAGGAATTGGACTTTGATGATTCCTGTGGGTCCCTTCCAACTCAGGATATTTTATGATTCTATGAAAGTGTTCTTTGTAATGAGGAAATTTTTAATTGGCACACAAAAGTATATTCTCCTAATAAATTCCCTATTGCTTGTGACCACTGTATGCAAATCCTCCATATATAATGTTAGACCTAGAAGTGTGCTGAAAATTGCTGGTCAAAATCTTTTGATCACACAAACCTGCTTAGAGGGTGATTTTTTTGACGGAAAGAATAATTCTTTCCCCTATGAAACTGGAAAACCACTATAACAAAATATTTTTCCTGGCAACTGCACAAAAGTAAAAAGGTTGTGAGAGGAGAAAAAAAGAATTTAAATTGCTTTTTAACTCTTTTCAGAGGGTAGAGTGCCTGCTGCTACCAGGGAAACAGCAGCTGTTTCTGGGCCCTGCTCAGAAACAGGTCCCTGAATTAACAGCTGCACTTTCGATTTGTGCTAGCATCAACTCTTTCAAAATGTGGGCTCTTTTGCTTCCAGCCTTAGTGTTTACTGGTACATTTGTGTTCTATGCTGGTTTGTCAGTATTGCTTGTTGTTTGATTTTTTTAAAAACATTAGACTGAGAGCCCTGGAACCTCTAGCTGAGGCCTCCAGGTGTAGTTAAGTAAGTGGATATAAACCTTGCTCTATTGACTCTGAAAATGTAACCACACTCCAGATTCCAGCCATAAGGCTAAAGGCTGGCAATTTACTTTATGGAGATGTCAAACCTCACCTTTCAATCCTTCTCTTTTCTCCCTGCACACATCATGAAAAGTTTGATCCAAGTTAAAACACTGGTGGCTAGAATTTGGTTCATTATAGGCACTTGAAATAATGAATCAACTATCTGAAACCCAATATTGATATTGCAATGAAGCTGCATGACATATGGTTATACATTAGAACATACATTTTTCAAAGAAAACAAAAGTTCCAAAGCTTAAGAACAGGTAAGTATCTGTACACCCAGAGTAAACAAATTTAAGAAGTGGATGATCTCAGATGTATGCTGAAGAAGTACTTGAGTCACCACTGAAACACAAGAACCATCATAGCACCGTAAATTACACCATGAAATTAGAGAAAATTTTACCACACTCCCTCTGTCTGCTCCTTTAGCAGTCATTTGAATGAACTCTATATGTGTACATGCTTTATTCACTTCTATTTCAGTACAGACATTTAAAAAAAATGAAAAAATCCCTTCTGGGGCTCCTTCCCAGCTAAGCTTTAGGGTTCCACTAAAATTTAAAACCAAATTACTAGGTTAAGAGGACTTCAGCCTTCCTCCACGTGTGTCCAGCATGCAGGTTAGCTAGCAAACTACAACAGGAGGCAGCTCTGTGGGGAATCCTCAGTAATTCTGTCAGTGTGTCATGGTCATAATCCTCAGTAATTCTGTCAGTGTGTCACAGTCACCCTTCTTGGCTGTGCATTTGTTTGCTGGCATTGGTTTATGTATCATACCTGATTTAAAGATGTGTGTTGATGCTCCATTGATTTCATTGACCCTACAGTAGGTTCTTACTGGCTCTAGCTACTAGTTTTGCTTAGATTGGTATCTCTGACTTTTGGGGTATTTCATAGGTACAGACTAGAGAAGAGTTTTTCTCTCTTTTCCCTTTAAGTTATCAAATTTTGCTTTTAATGCACTTGCTCAGGCATTTTTGACAGTCTGTGTTTCACAGGAAGTTCTGTAGGTTGTCAACATGCTACTTTTTGTAGCTGAACTGCAGAGCACATTGTCTTTCGCTTGGTCTTCCTCACGCTTTCGTAGGCACAAGCAACACCTGAACAAATTCAGTACGTCTGTTCGTGCAGTTTCACTCACAAAGCAGTACAGAATGGGATCTGCAATGCAATTCAAGCTTGTTAAGGCCTGTGTGATTCTGTAAACTTTATACATCAAAAGCAAAAGGTGTGGGTCAGTGGTGGAAGGTTCACTGATGCTCCGAATAAGCAATATAATGTGATAAGGAGTGAAGCAAACAATGAAAGTAACTGTGATATTCAGAATAAGTTTCCTCACTTTTTTCTTTTCTTCATCGACTGTGGCTTGGTTATACCTCACTACTTGGTAGATTCTATGGTAGCAAAACACGATGATTATCAAAGGGACCAAGTACCCTGAGCATATCCGCAATAAATTTATCTGTGCCTGCCACAATTCCAGGGGGTATTTTTCATAGCATAACAAATGATTAGTGGAATTGCAAGGATCACTGAATACTTCTTTGTGCAACAATATGACTGAATTCAAGATGCTTTCCAGAAGCCAAACAATTATGCTGACGATAACTGAAAATCTTCTTGTGCGCAAGTGCTGGAGCTTCAAGGGGTGAACTAATGCCAGGTACCTGTCAACAGAGATGCAAGCAAGGAACGCAGTGCTGGTGTAGAAATTCATATGCATAAGGAAGGCAGAAATCTGACAAAGCATGGCAGAGTGCCTCCAGTTATCTCCATTCCAGGCATAATCAATCCACAGAGGTAGAATCGAAGAGTACAGAAGGTCAGCCAGGGATAGGCTGAAGATGTAGACTGCTAACTCATTCTTCTTCCTCACTTGAATGCATGATGCAAAGAGGGATATGCAGTTGATGGGAATACTGATAATCATCACAATGCTGTACACAAATGGAAACAAATACTTATCCAGGGTGTGATCATCATGGCACTTAGTAGTATTGTTGTTCATTGTCCACTCCAAGTAGAATCTTTGGGCTAATTCCAGTCTGGATGCAATAAAATCCCCTCTGTAGTCTGATGGAAGGTCATCTGTTAGTGCTGCAGGACCTGATAACAAGATTCCAGCCTTCTGTTACCAAAAAGGAAAAAATGTCAGCTCTAACATTTTAGTTTGTTCTATGGGCTTCTTGGTGTGGTTTTTTTTTGAGGTGTGGGGTTTTTTTTGGGTTGGGTTTTGTTTTGTTTTGTGTTTTGTTTTGTGGGTTTTTTTTAAAGAAAGAAAGTGTTTTAAACAATCCTGGTGTTAGGAATGCATAGGAAGAAGAACCAAAAATCTAAGGTGGTCAAGGTCAGTTAGATGCAAGCTTCTACAGCAGAAGCAGGAAGAGTTGTTAAACCCAGGTCTCTCTTGTGGGAGGAACTGAAAGAGATCAGAATGTGGGTAATAGAAGTGCACTTTCTATTATCCTGGTAGGCATGGTTTTGGGAATATGAATGTGGCAGATTTCTCATCCCTAAAAGCCTCTTCCTCTCTGAGTAAGTCAATGGAGAGACAAGGATAGGAAGACCAGGTACCACTGGATGGTTGGATCTGCTCAGAAGATGAAAATGTGTGGCTGGTATGTTTCCCTATTGCAAATCACTCCCTTGTCTTGCTGCATCCTCACACATCCCTGCTTTCCCTCTCCTTCTTTGTATGCAATCCCATAAGAACTTGCCATCAACTGTGGTATTCCAGCAAAACTTTCTGCATGTCCCAGAAGCCCTTGGCTTGGTTACTGGGTTCCTGCATGCACAGGAGAATCTGCTGGGTGATCCTTTGACTCACATGAAGTGGAGACTCTGAGTACAATTTTTCATTTATGTTTCTTTCCTCTAAAAGCTGCAGTTGTCACACATAAACTTGTAAAACCATCAGCAATCAAGCTTATCTTAGCCACTATCAGGGCTGTGGGTATCAACAGCTGTCCTGGGTTGCAATGGTATGTATTCTATTTTCGTCTCCACAAGCTGTTAAAGAAGGTGCATTTGTTGCATTTGTTGTTGTTTTGCTGTGTTGTTCATATTAAATTGTACTTCTGACTTGGAGTCTCTCACTGGTTTGCTTTCAAACCAGCACAACAGCTCAACACGAAAATACCAGTAAAACAGCAGCCTTGACTAAAGCAGTGGGACTAGAGGAGTTGCATGTGTGAGCCTTTGAAGCACTTAGAAGAACTGACTTTTAAGTAAGAAAGGGCATATAATTGTAGCCGTGATACAGCTGGTACTCACTAATCAGATCACATCTCTGACACTCTTGTCTAAAGATCTAATTGTTAAGTTCAGGAAATATGAGAATTGAGAATATTTGTTGTGGACCAGTTCTGCTGACAAATATACTAAAGGCTTCAGAGACTGCCTGTGATAACTCATCTGTATTTTGGGCCTGGTCTGCCAGCAGAGGAGGTGGAGAGGCTGAAGAATGAGTAGGTTGCGAGACAGCATGTCCACAACTAACCCCACGTAGGAAACAGCTCAAACCGAAGACAACTTGTGTGCAGAAACTTTCCCATGTGGTAAGAAAAAATCAGCCTTTTATGGGTTGGATGTGTGTTTGTGGGTTTACCAGAGAAATCCAAGCAGGATTTTTGCCTCTGTGGGGAGGTCATTATATGGATCTGTTATCCATAAAAAACCCCACCTTTCATGTTCATTCAGAAAAAAAGGATCAATGACAAAACTAGTTAGAAAGCACATATTTAGTTTTACCAGCCACTGCTTTATTTGATCAAGTTGGCTAAATTTTCACAGAGCTAAATGCATTGACAAGCTTGAAAGACAAGCAAGATTCTTGAGAAGGACTTGCCAATTTGATCCACTGAGGAACTTTACCTACATGATGACTAGTTAGAAAAAACAAGTGTCTATACTTAAGACAAATATGTCTGCATTTCAGTGTGGTTTACTAAAACCACAGAGTAAATTGCGTATTGTAAGCTTACCAGTATAGATAAGCATCACAAATTGAAAATCTAGCTCTAGAAAGTCTATCCCAGGGTTTTGTTGGCCCACTTCTCATCAAAAGCAAAGCAAGCATATGCAGACAGACCAGATGAGTAAAAGATAAAATACCTACCTCTTCTTCTAATTATATTTTAGCATCTCTTTTCCTATGACAGGTCTCTTCATGTCTAACAGGGAAACATGCCCTTTCAGAAGCATGTGTGTAATGCAGCAAGTGTAAGAGGCAGTGTTTACTAGTCGCATGACTGAGAAACTGGAATTCCTTCTCCCTCCCCCATAAACTCTTTCTCTTTTGTTAGTTAACTTGTTTCATTACAGACTCACCATCCTTACAAGCGCCCAACTTGCCTCCACGTTACTTACGACAGCTTCTCTCTTTCATATTACTCATAGACCAATATACCACCCACCTGTTTTCCTCCAGCTTTCCAATTTTAGCTCATTATTTATAAGAGTTTTGCTCTATTGATCTCACTGATCATGAGGTAAACCGCTTGTCCACATGTTCTTTGGGGCAAGACTTTGCATTGCTCTTCTGCCATCTGCCTTAAGGAACTAATCTCTGAATGCATACTTGCCTAATGGCAAGCTGGGACACTGAAGACGAAATTCAAAGAAGTGAGATGAGACCGCATGAAATTTGCCATCTCAGAAAGTTTTTTCTGTCCTTCCTGTTCACAGGACACTGTACCCTATGTTTTCTTTATTGTTTAACCAGTATGTTCATTAGTTTCTATGAACACAGCCCTGGAGGCTGTCTAACATTCCCCAGGAAATCCATGTCCCAGCTTTGATGACACACTGACAGTACTTGTACGAGGACATGCTTTCAATGAGGTTAATAACAAGAAGTGTGTCATTCTGGCATGTATTAATGACCTATACTTAAGTGTGTCAAAGAGGCAGCAAATGCAGCATACCACAATTGCTTTGCAGCATCTTGCACAGAAATATAGAAGGAGAAAGCACTGTTTCGCCCTGATTGCAACACATTACACTCAAGTTGCTTGGGGCCTTACTTCAGAGGAAGTAGTCCATATCATACTTCCTTACTTAGATGTTTTTCTCATAATTAGGACTTCGTAATGCAAGAAGATTTGTCTTACCTGAATGCATGATCTGAAGAACTCCCAGGTTTTCTCTCAGCTACTGAGCGTACCTGCTGGTTTTGCCCCAGAGGATGCTATTGGCTCACAGCTACCCTAAAAACCAAGATTTGGTAATTTTCCCCACTGATCGCTATTTTTTTCTAAAAAGCTATCGAGGAATTTCTGTTTAATGACAGAGTCTAATGGTTTGACTTTCATGGTCCAAACCCACTGTGACTAATTCTGTAGACTTGTGACTTATTTTATAGACTTACTTTGGTAATCAGATGTGTTACAAATGAAAAAATATTCTCAACAGTATTTTTTCTTTTAGACACATTATTCAATTAATATCATAGTTCCTGTCTCTGTCATTTTGCTACAATCTGCTGCACAAGAATTCTAAAGAGTCAGTAAGACATAAAATTTAGAGAAACAGACTAGCAAACGTTACGCTTCAAGTAATGTATGCAAACAAGCCTGTAAAGGAACCTCGTGAAAGTTTCTGGAGAACAACAGTACTCATTACATATTGTATTCATATCGATGCATTTCTGCACTATATTCTTCAGATTCAAAGAGAGCTTTATGTGGTCTCTCCATTTGTGACATTTTGAAAGTAACAAAGTAAGCTGAACTTCATAAAAACCAAAGGATATTCCATACTCTAATCTGTAAACAACTTTCTAAGGGAAGAAAGGTACGATGCTGTGTGAGCTAGTGCAGTAGCTGCTGCACTGGTGATATTGTATATCAGCCATAAGATGAAAGACAGATGGTTTTCTTGATTTCTTTTTTCAGTTTCAACAAAGTAGATTGCTCTGTGTTCTCAAAATAAGTTTTGATGCCAAGTTGATTTCCTCAAGCACAAAGGACATTTTGTAGCTGATTATTTTTACCTAACAAGCAGATCTCAAAACTTACTTCTGAAAAACATAATAGTTTAGGAGAGTTGAAATATACCTTTCAGTAAAATGGACCTTTTGTGCTTACAATGAAGACCATTTTTTCCTCACACAACAGCAAATTTTAGTCACAGGTCTCCATGATATTCTGTGGAGACTCAAATAGGTCTAAAAGACCTCAGCTTTTTTAACTTGAAGTGCACTTTATGGACTGTTTTATAGCGAATAAATATTCTGTTAACACGAGCAAATAAAAAAAACCCACAATGTTTTTAGAATGTAGGCCATGCAGGCAAGGATTATTTGGCTAGATCATTATGTGCATCATGTTCTCCTCTGTGCATACAGAAAGATGTACAAAGTATTTTCACACTCATGATACTTGGTGTTCTAAGAAGCTACTGTTACCAGAACTTACTCTTCTGCTAGGTTTTAAGCATTGTGTATATTCATATGTATAGTACTGAGTATCTTGTTAGTGCCATAAAATACCAAAGAACAATAACAGATAAGCTACTGGAACCCCCAGTGAGGTCTGAGGCACTTTTTGCAGTGAAGACAGAACAGTTCAGAATACTGAAAACTCATCCCCAAATACAGTTCTTCTCCATCCTTCCCTCACCTTGTAAGCAACAGGTATTTTGACCATGGCAATACCATTACAACAAACAGTAAATCAAGATGTCATGTCTTTCCTAATTCAATCTTTTGATGTCATTTGCCCTTAGTCTCACCTTTCAGTTGTGCTGGGATTAAAATAATCCTTCTCCCAAATCAATCTTTTCCAGCCCTTTCTGTGTCCCTTCTTTTCACTGTATGATGTCAGCATCACATTAAGAGAGAGCTGGGTTGAAATCTGGACCAGAACATAAGCTATGCATCTGACTTGTTGAATTCTGAACACTCACCTCGGCAGCTGTGTGTTCCTGTGTGGGAGCTTCACTGTTAAGCCATCGGTAGTGTAACCCGTGTCTGCTTCTGAGAAAGTGCCTGCTTCTGCTTTATAGACAGGAAGCTGCTCATAGATAATGAAGCAACAGTTTACACATCTCTTAATTTTTTTTGCCTCCCTTTCTTTTCTTTTTCTTTTT